TAATTTAATCATAATAACAAACAAAAATATTGCATGGTTAACAATATTTGTGGACTAGAATAATTACAATAAAACTGATCGAACTTTTAAGTTTTGTAGCTTTAGTTTAATTTTTTTAAACTTCCTTGTATGCAGTAATGAGCTTTAGAATCCACAAAAGTACATTTTGCAGTCTATTTTAAATAAAGTCTATACTAATAGCAAACTGAGAAGTATAAGACTGTAATCTATCTGATCAAATTTTATTTCTACTCAGTGCTTCTTAGAAGAACACAAAATTGCAATCTTACCATTCATTCAGTCAACAAATGCTTGAATTTTTATTGAAATAATGAAGTTTTTTTATGAAAAAAATTAACGCATTAATTATGGTTAACAAGCTTATTTTCATCTTACTTTCTACTTTTCAGAATAGTACTGCTGATGATTTGTTTCATAGTATTCCGGAAACATCTAAAGCAAATAATGTGGTAAAAGAACCAAATGCTGCTTCATTACCAGCTGAAAACAAAGATGCACAGATGTTTCCGACAAAGGCTGATACTAATACACAAGTTAGCATTCATCTAGTTATTTTAAGCTTTAATAATGTATATGTTATCCCTCCAGTAAATATTCCTCTTCCACCACCTGAAGCACAATCTTTAGTCCTTCCATTTCAGGTTTTTGAAACTCTAAATCCATCTCTTTCTTCCCCTGCAACAACACTATCTGGAGCCCTACCATCTCCTCCTTACCAAGTACCTCTAGATGTTGCCTCATCAACTCCATATTACTCTCATACTGATTCAGAAGTTGTTTCTTCTGCTCCTAATAACAATCAAAATACAATGCTGCCTGAACCTGTTATGATTCAGAGCTCGCCGATTCATCTTCAGACTACGGATAGAACGGATCTATATAGCTCGAGTTCACCAGAAGAATTTCAACATGTTTCGAAATCAGTGCATTCCTTTGTTGACCCTTCTTCGGAGCATACTCGTTCCATTGATGCTTCCCACGATTATGCTTCTAATGAAAAAGTATGCTGCGCCTCAAATGCTGCATTGCCTTTCTGCGTTTACTCTTTTGTTTGGTGAAAAAACTTTCTACCATTTTCAGTTAGGTTCAGTGAAAGATGGACGGTTTGGAAATTTTTGCAAACGATGTATTAATGTAAAAGTGCTGCTGATATAAGCAGAAGTATTTTAAAATTAAATCTTACTATTTAAAAATTCTTCCAAAAAGTCGCAAAGTAGACCTTAACTTAAGATAATTTTTTGTCGCAGTATTGCTACCTTAATATTTACATAAATGTTTTGAGCAATCAACTAGTGGCATGGTGACAGCAGCAGATGAAGAAGTGAAATATGAAAGTGAAATTAAAGAAGAAGATGGCAAAAATTCTATTGTAAAAGAAAATGGAGTGGTAAAAAGTTTGTTCTAAAAAGCAGAGTAGTTTGATAATAAGTATGAAAATAATGCCATAATTTATTATTTTGTGTCTTCGATGTATTATAAATTCTGAATTTCCCTAATAACTTGCATAGAAATGAAATTGATTTTGCAAATATGCCGAAATTTTCCAGTATGTGTGTACAGGCTTAATTACCGTTATTTGCTTCTTGCTCACAGCTCGGAAATGGCAGCTATTCACAATTTTCCTAAATCCTCATGTCTCTCAAAAATCACTAAATCTTTATTTTTTAAAGGGTTACTGCGTAAAAGATGGATGCGATGAAATCCATAACACTCATGTTGAGGAAAAGGTGTATGTTGAATATTTATTCATGATTGGTCAGTGGCTCTCCAAATTAATTAGTATTGTGCGGTACATTTTACCTTCAGCTATTAATCACATTGACGATGCAGGTAATTATCAGTTGTTTATTAAGTTGAAGAAGAGAATACTGATTACCGAAATCGTAAATATTCAGTGATGATTGGAACAAGTAACTTTTTATAGGGGTTTTGGTAACAATATTCGTTCCTTTATGTTTGGTTGCTCATTTGTTACGTATGGTAATTTTTACTGACACATACGAAACAGATAATTTTAATCGAAAAATGCTTCATAATGCGTTAACAACTATTCGAGAGCGAGAAATTCAAATAAAGGTGAGTGTTAATTGTTGATATAATGTGTTACATGTATGTACAGGACTGATATTTACTGGTAGTTTGGTAATTGACTCTCAAAGATTGATACAAAATCTGCTTAATAAAGACATATTTTCGTAGTAGCTAGAAATTTATATTTTTATATCAAGAAATGTTTATTTAAAATTACTTTGATTATTCTTTCAAGTTCTAAAAATAGCTTTTAAAATTATTGATGATGTTTGTCTTGTAAGTCTTTTTATTAACTCCAAGACACATATAACAAACAGAATTTCTGCGATTTTAGTATAGTTTCCTTCATTGCGTTGCATAATTTCTTACAGTTCTTGCAAGGTGAAATTGAAAAAGGAAAAAACATGGGTACTGCTAAAGTAGATGAAAAATTTGAATCTCTACAATCCGAACTAAGTAATCGATTATTGGAAATCCAACAAATGAAAACAAAGTATATGTTTTCAAATTTCATGAAAAAAAAATATTAATTTTGAGTCATTATTCTACATACTTTAATTCAACATATGTATTATTTTCATGCAAAAATAGCGAAAGAATGTCTATATCACTGTTCTAGATTTCTCACAATTGAAGAACAAAACAACAATTTGAAAGCAGAAATTGTTGAAAAAAATGGGATGATTGAGAAAGAACGTTTAAACTGTACAAATTTAGCGGAAAAAAACGCAAACCTTTTGGAAAAAAATGAGGTTATTTTAAGATGACAGTACCATAAAATCAAAGTTGACAAAAAAAAATTCAATAACAGGAGTTATGTGATATGATAGAGTGAAGATGGTTCAAAATTCCAAAATCCTTCATTATAGATAATAAGTAATTTCAATCACTCTTCTAAAAATTTTTTCAGTTGCAAATGAAACAGCTCTCTGAAATAAGTGTTGCTGTAGAAACTTCTGGTGAAGAGAATGAACGTCTGATGAATGAAATTGCACGAAAAAATTGCCAGTTGACATGTCTGAAATCGGAAGCAAATTCTCATACTCTCGAAATTCACAGCTTAAGGGATCAGTTAGAAGTAGAGTTTGTACAAACCTTTTTTTCGAAATTTTAAATTTTTGTTGATTTTAAGTGTTCATTATTTGTTTTGACTGACCATTCAGCAACTTATAGCATGTTCATTTGAAAGTTCTACACTCAGTTACGGACACGTTTTTTCATAATTTATTGTTTTCTTTTTATGCATCATCAACGGAAAAAAAAATGTTGCATCAACGTGTGGAAGAGTTGCAAAGTGAAGTTGTTCAGTTATCAGAAATTATTTCTGAATTACGTGATGCTGGTGACTATGACGGAGGAGAGCAATCATTTGATACAGAGACTAAGAATGACCAGCCAGTTAATGAAAATGGAAACGGTCACTTTCTTTTCATAAGTTTATCATTTTTACTTTTTGCATTGTTCTATAAAGTTGGATTTATGCTTTAAAGAACATCTATATTCTGAAACTTAAGCAACTATACGACATTTAGAGACAATTTGTTTCCCATCTTCCTAACGTCAATATTGTTTTTCTTCAACCAATTTAAGCTTTAAAAGTGAAATATGTTGAAGTCACTGGTGTAAAGAAAAATGTGTGTAAATTGATTGTATCATCAACCCATGTTTTTTAAGCACAGTAATACGATATATCAAGTTTCCGCGCTCATCATATCGTGTACTCTTAAAATAAATCAAATTTACAGGTGAAAGTGGTTGGTCAGATTTCGATGAATATGATGCAGACAATACGATAGATAACACAAAACAGAAAGCACGAAAACAACAAAAAAAAGAGCGATCACTGACCACGCGATTCTCTCCTACCGATATAATGGAAGTTGTAAAACTTAGAACGCAACTCAAAAATGTAGAAGCTGAGTTAGAGCAGGCCAAGTACTGTTTAAAAATTTTAAAATAAATTGCTTTTTACTTGCTTCTTGCTTTGAAATTGAGGCTGTAACAATGGGAATTAAATTTGGACTGTGGAAAAAATTTTGGTGATCCTAAAAGCACTTATTTTAGTTTTTTTTCTTTTCAAATTAGATGCTTTTGGCAGGTTACTGATGTAACTTAAGATAACATTTTTTATAATTAAAAATATTATTTATATTTTTGTGTTTGATAGTCAGTTGAACTTATAGGTAAAATAATCATGTTATTTTGAATGTTTTTATTAGAATCATCCTTAAAGATGGTTTTTGGTATCATTCTGTAAATGGACACGGAACTCTATTTATCAGTGATATATGTTTCATATTTAGACTATCATTTCAAAAGCAAGCTAATGAACGGGAGCACTTAGTACGTAGAGTGGAATTTGCGGAATCTGAAGCTACAAAGCGTTTTAAAGAGATTGAAACTAAAGAAACGGAAAGAATGGAAGCACACAATCAGTTTAAACGAATTCTTGCTATGGTTGAAGAACGAGTTAGTCCAAATGTTGAACAACTTTGCATAATAATTTTAATCTTCATGAGAAATTTTCTGTTAAGTTTTAGGAATCAAAATTAAGAAATATGGAAGAAACAGTAGAAAAGTTGCGCAGTGAAGCAAAAAATTGGCAGGATGAAGTGCGATCATTAGGAGATCAAAAGAAAACTGTGGAAATCAAGCTGCTGGTACTTGATTCACACTTGTTTTAAGCAAGAGTCTTTTTATTTTTTTTCGCTGGTTTGTTGGAACATGCATGGATGAGGTGGTAGACATATTACTGATGAAGCTTAAGATAAAGTTTTTTATAATTAAGAATATTATTTCTATTTTTATGTTTGATAGTCAGTTGAACTTATAGGTAAAATAATCATGTTATTTTGAATGTGTTTTTATTAGAATCATCCTTAAAGATGGTTTTGATATCATTCTGTAAATATCTTGTATTGTAGGAAGCTGAGCAAGAAATAAAGCGTCTAAAAGCAGAATATAGTAGACTGGAGACGCGTAATTTTCATGAACTACGAGATTGCCGACAAACAATTGCATCCTTGAAGCAAGTTCGTTTTTTTTTTAATTTCATTCATTAATACTTTATTTTGCCTTTTTTTTCTGTGCATCATTTTGAATACATTTATCGATGTAATAAGTTCTAGCTACAGTGGAACATAAATTTTGCATTTTTTGTTTAGAAGCATCGAAACATCTTTTTGGAATCATATGATTTAGTTTTGTAGTTTCACTTTCATTATTAAGAAAGTGATTTTCTCTTTGATCTTCGTTTTTTGATTATTTTATAAAGTAATGTTCAGTCAATAGAGCAGTTTCATCTTTCAAATCCACTTTCAAACGTGTTTGATAATGCTAATGGGCTAAATCTTTCGGCATCTTCATCGGATCGAGATTATGGAGCTTCTCTAAGTGGTGTTTTAGGAGCTGCTCCTTTGCCTTATGTGAGGCCATTATGGAGTGATGATGCAGCGGAGGTTCATATTTTCTTTATATGACAGAAACATCCCATATCTGTTTTTTTAATTTAATGAAAATAATTTGAAATCGTGGAAAGATGACTTTAAAGTTTATTGCAATTAACCTCAATACACTACATTCCAGAATAATTAAGCTATTGTTCACTCATTTTTTTCAGTTCCTTTCATCTCACGGAGAGTCATCTTTGTTAAGAAAGGGTGATCCATTATTGAACGACATAGTACCAGAAAATAATATGAATATCCCTAAGAAAGGTTCTAGACCTCGAAGAAGTATTAGAGATTGGGAGCATAATACTGAAGTAGCTATAGATGGTGCACATATTCGTTATAAAAAAGTTGGTTCATTTTATGTTTATCAGTAACTGTTATGTGCCTTAGAATCGTCGTTGTTGTAAAATTTTTTTTGTGTATTAAGAGTAGCAGTGGCGTATTGAGGTGAAACGATAAATTTTCTGGATTTATTATAAATTTATGTAGTGAGTTTGTTGCATTCAAACTAGTAGCAGTGTTCTGATCACTGGTAATTATTTGCTGAAATAATCAGAATATTGCTACAAGCAGTGTTATTAAATAGTAATATTGCGCATGATTCTTCAGTACGTGCTGAGGAAAGTTTTCGTTCCCAAAACGTCGTTAAAATATTTTACAAGAATATGGTTATTAAGTATAGAAAAATCGACTCAAACCAACTAATAAATTATTGGTGCAGTTGAAGATGATAGGATGACAATATGATAGTAAAATCAAGTTTACAGATAAAAGTTTTTTCAGTGGATGCTAGGTAGTTGTGTTCAGGAGCATAAGTATCAATTACCCACTGATTAGTAATTAGCTGTTTAATGTTATCATATCAAAAAATTTCAGGAAGGTAAGAGAATGAGGTCTCGTTCACAAGGCCGTCATACTCTGCAAACTGATTATTTTCCAGTTACACCAATATCTGGTTACCCAGCACCACCTGCAGATTACTTAACTGCTGCATCACTCAACAAGCTGCATAGCAAAAGTGGAACATTATGCTGTTCTTCAGGTGGTTCAAACGATGGTCGTTCACCGCCTCCAGAACTGGCATTACTTTCAGGTGTACCGCCGCCAGGTCCAATGATTAAGAAACCAACACCATGTCCTAAAAGTTGGTTTTCGTTTTGTCATTAAAAGACGATGTTCTGTTTTTTCATTGTTGAGCCAAATAGATTGACTATCTATAAGTCCTTGGTATTGCTTTCAATTATTGAACTAAGTTTGCTGAAATCCAAAGTGTCCTTGTACCTGTCTTCAGTATATGCTAATTCTACTCTACTGTAAATAATTCTTTTTTTTACTATCAAAGAATTGAATAACATTTTGTATCATAGACGCAGTCTCTGATTCATATTTTTTTCAGTTATTGCAGAAGCACTAGAAAGGCGCTAAAATCACTGTACAGTAACTAAAATATGGCAGTTCTTTCATGATACTATGCTCCGGGTTTTTGAAGAGAAGTAAAAAATGCATCAATGGCTTCATTTGTAGACTTTTAACTTTTTGTTAGTTACTCTTACAAACAGCATCCTTGTGATTTCGGGATTGTGATAGTATTGTTCCTTCTTTTATTGCCTTTTTTAAATGTTATCATGTTGTTCACCGTATTGTCCATAAAATGATGGAAAAAGATGTTCTTATCTAGATGGTAGTGCATGTTTTCTATCTGTAATAAATTCTTTTGTGGGCTCATACACTTGTTTGTATCAATTTATTATTTCTACTTTTTCTGGCTACTAAAGTTATTTGAATTTTTGAATATATCTCATATGTATGTGATGTGTTTATAAATAATGAATTTACATAGTTCATATAGGAATGAGGACGTGAATGAAATTCAGCAAACTTTCTGTGTCTATCTCTATTCATTTATAATTTATCGCATTAGGAGGAAATATATGGTTGATTCTAAATATCACAAGACAAATGATAAGTTGTACAAGATTTGAGTGACTTTTCTGTGAAGCGTTGGAGTCAAGTATATCATAAATTCAATTTCTAGGTAAACTTGAGTAACAAGTCAAGTATGTGACGTAGGGTCAGTGAAAAGTAGAGAATTGAGTCTGGTATGAGTGGTTGCTTGTCTGCAGATTAGTGAATATGTGATGTGAGTTCTCTAATGTTCATGTCAACGTTCCTGTCTATAATAAATACACTGGATTTTCTGGTGAATTCTCTGTTATATTTTTGCTCCATTTTATATCATATTGTTTCGCTCATATATTTAGCTAGTAAAATTAGTATTTCTTGGCCTCGTTCTTCCTAGTCTTGATCAGTAATTACAGGTTTTCGAGGCATTCGTGAAAACCACTCTTAGTGTTAAATTCCAAGATAATTCTTGATATATGATTGATTATATCAAGGATAGCATTAATTTCTCGCTGTCGTTTTTTAAACTTGCAATATATAATCTATTTATAGACCGTATGAATTAATGCTGTGAAATTCTAGGAGGAATTGTCGATAATACTTTTATACTTTTCTATATACAAGAACTTTGCATTAAATTTCGAAAGATATGAATACTGATCTTAGTATTCTGTTTTAGGAAATTTTTTGTTTGGATTTTGAACTTGAAAAACATCTTTTATTAATTTAAGATTTTTACATTTATGTTTTCAAATTTTTTTCAACAAAATACCACTCTCTTTACTTTATTATTTGTATGACTAGTTTTATCTTTCGCTTTCATGCTACTAGTATTCATAAATTTTTGTGATTGAGTGTAAGAAAATGTAGTGAGGAAGAAGAGATTTTCTTTACAAAAATACCCTTGTAACTCGTTTAGTAAATAAGTATTTATGTGTTTCGTGATTATTCAGTTCTTATGGGTAGCCCAGAAACACGAATGAAAGTTCAAAAGCGTGACATTCGTTTCTGGACCACTGGTTCATTTCTTACCCTCACTTTACTGCTATCTGTTCTTTGCGCTTCATTTAGTCTACTGATGATAAACATGCAGAAACCCGGTTGCTCACGTCGACCTTATAATGCCTCACAACTTGGTGAGTAATAGCTAATTGTTACTAATTAGAAAAAAATTTTTAAATTTTTTACAGATTGCTCACTTTTCCTTTTTTTAGGTCGTGAATATTTTTTATTCACATTTCTCATAGAAATCTTACTGCAAGTAATTACATTTGTGTTTGTCTTGAAAAGCGGTATTGGCATCATAAATATTCTTCTGGCACTACCATTTGTTTTGTCGGAAATGCATAATAAATCTATTAATTCTTTGTGGTTTCATTTTTTATTGTTTTAACTTTGCTCTTGTACTTTAAATAAATAATATGTATATATTCATTATGTTTATGATAAACTCATCATTTTTACGTTATCTTGCAGATTGCAAGCAAACAGAACATTTGAGTTTTTCATTTAGGGCATGAGATCTTTCTTGATGATGGATCACGTGAGTTCCGTATAACGGTTGTGACAGACCTTGATAAAAACAGTAAGCATCCAACGAAAAATCAGTGGCATAGTTTCATGGAGTATGGCACTTTAACAGTAAACAGTGACTATACCAAAGCATCTGTTCAATGGGATAATGCGGAAAAGGCAAAGATTTGTCGTTGCATTTATAAACATTTCATACTTTCTGATTTTTTCAAAATATATAGTTTGCTTTACATTCATAAACTATTCCCGTTAGGATTTTTCTTTATTTGCTACCTATTTACCTTAACTAAAAATCTTAAATTTTCTGAATCATTGACTTTTGTCAAATTGTAATTGAATGCTTTTCAGTCTTGTGCCGAAATGCATTAATAATTAAGAACACATTGATAGTACAGGTCTCACTTCATTCTACACTTGCTACTGATGGGCGATCGATGGAGTTATCAGATCTTGTCGTTTTCGATGGAAATTTATTGTCGATAGATGATCGAACAGGGATTATCTATCAAATTAAAAATAAAGCAGCTTATCCTTGGGTATATTTTTAGAATTATTTTATTAGAAAAATTGCTCTTTCATGGCTAGTTTTTCATGATTTGGTTAGTTTTTATGTTTAATTACAGAGGGTGAATTGAATTTAAGGTTTTCATTAGTGATGGTGCAGGGAATGCGACAAAAGGTTTGAAAGGTGAATGGATGACAGTGAAAAATAGTTATTTATGCGTTGGAGGACTTGGAAAGGAATGGACAGATACAAAAGGTGTTTTTTTGAACGAAAACCCAATGTGGGTTAAGGTAAATTTAGCCAATTTTTCACTATATTATCCATTTAATTGTAATAAGTTGTATTCTTTCGTTTGGCATCATGTTGTCTATCGTTATTTCGGATGTGTTTAATTGAGTATTCATGGAATATGAAAAACGTTGCATACTTTTTGCTTTTTGGAAATTCGATATTGCGTAGAAAAGAACCGACTTTTGTTAAATTGTGACCACTCAGCAGAAAAGTACCGAATTTAAAATAGAATTTGAGAGATTCTTCATTTGCACTCACTGATCCATAAAATTTTTCGCAGAAGGGGGAGAGTCTGTAACTGAATATTACTGCTAACCATAACTCGGGAGTTAACAATTTTTTTGAAAGATTTTTTTCATAGAAACCTAAGTTTTCAGTTTATCACATCAGATGGCAGGATTGAACATGTAAGATGGGTCGATGAATATAAGAAGTTGCGCGCAGCAGTTGGGATAGAATGGCCTGGTTACATGATACATGAGTCAGTACAATGGTCATCCATATACAACAAATGGTTTTTCCTACCAAGAAGAGTTAGCAAATACTCTTATAATGATGTAGATGATGAAAAAAGAGGTTAGATTAAAAATTAATACTAATACATGATGTGTATGTTCTAATTGCAAGTGCTGCGTAATTGTTTATTTCAAAGGAACATTTGCAAATGTAGTGAAGTCTTTTCATCATGAAAAAATGAGTATTACCTTTTCATAAGCTTTCGGTTGAGACAAAAATAAACTAGAGAAAAAAATTTTAGATCCTGTTATCATGTTATCGGAAAAACTTGTTAGAACTTTTGTGATTGCAGGCGCGAATTATTTGCTTATTGCTTCGGAGGATTTTTCAAATATTAATTACCGCCAGATTGGTAGATCAACTGCTGCAAGAGGTTTCTCAGCTTTTCAGTTTATTCCTGGTAGTAAAGATCGCGTTATTGTGGCCTTGAAATCAGAAGAAGAAGCGGGTATTCCAGTAGCTAGTTACATTACCGTATTCAATCATGAGACAAATCACATACTTTTAGATGAGATTGCACTTCCTGGCAAATTTAAATATGAAGGAATAGCCTTTGTTTAATATATCAGATAATCGTTGTTGACATTTTTGGTTATATATTTGCTCCTCAATATGTAATACCAATTTGTTTTCCTTTGCTATTAGTCATTATTAATATTCTTTCTTGCAATTTAGAATCTGTCATATAATACATCACTGACCTCAACACCTGACCTCAGGTTGTTTAAAAGCCGATATTCATACTTGATTTTTTTTCACTTAGGATATTTATTCTGTGCTGGATTTCTATGCCAAATGTATTCAGGTTGTGATTGATATGACTATCTGCCATGTGTCACTCTTACTGGTTCTGATTTTCTGCGATTATGTCTTGATTACATCAAAGAATTAATAAAAAGTAATAAAATAAACTATTATTTTTATCAGTTGTTTGCTAAGAAAACTTTATTTTCATTTCGCACAGTTTACGACTATTTTATGCAATATTTTTATTTGATTACACTGTTTTAAGATTCACTTTTAGTTGCACAAGCTTCTTCTTTGCTTTGCATACTTATGCTTTTCTTTTGCAGCATAGAGTTCACAACTGTAATTATGTATTATTTTGGGTTTCAGTTTTTAAATTTTTCTGTTAAAAAACTCATCAATTCTTAAAGTTCATTCTTATTTAATGATAAATTCATACGTTTAACATGTAGTCTTTACAAAATTGCTATAATTACTTACATGAGAGCTGGTCCTCCGATCACTCAACTTTCAAAAATTTTGAAGAGGGGTTCAGACAATGTGGTCAGTTAATGTGGTCAAAGTAATCTTTTTTTTATTCATCTGATTAGATTTCATTTTCGGACTTTCCACTTTCATATCAAAGCGGTCGGAAGGCAAGGTATTCATAATAGCAAAAGTTTAATGGTTGAGCTTCCAGATTATTGGGTTCAAAATTTTTGATTTATTTTGAGGGAAAATTAGTTTGTGGAGTGTCATTTTTTGCTTGCATACGTTATTTGCAGTTAGTTTTCACTGTTGAAGAAAAGTGTTTCAGGTAGATCTAAAGTGTGATCTGTAAAGTAATGCGTGAAGAATCATTTACGCATTCAACGAGTGGAAATTCATCGTACTTTAATCCATTAAGCAATGTAAAGGATTTTTTGGAAGAGTTAGCGAGTCTTGAAAATATCTCTAATAATACAGGTTCCATTCATTTACCTCTACTTTATCTCTTTTCTCTTTGCGACTGTATTATTTCGAGGGATGTGAGTAAAAATACCAATATTCAAGGAAACATGCCAAGTTATGAATAAGTTTTAGTTATCAGACAAAATATCAAGTTTCAGGTTAAATATTCAGATTATTATTCTTGTAGTCAGTTAGACAAACGTCCAGATATGAGTCTTTTTCTACTCTTTGTGTATTTAGTTTCTGTTTTTCAATGCAATATATGTTTTTTCGCTATCAAGTTAAACATTTTGGTGAAGAAATGAATCATGATGGGACTCATGGACATAGTGGACATGCATCATTACATAATTATCATATGGATGTACTTAATAGTCACTCAATGGATGGTCACCATCATAATGGACATAACATGAAAATGTGGTTTCATGCTGGTTATGAGGAGATAATTTTGTTCGAATTCTGGCATATTGAATCTTTTTATGGTTGGTTTTTCAAAAGCTCTTATCGACTGATAGGTGCATTGAAAGGAAAAAATGCGCACTGTAATTTCTTACTTTTCACATTATTTATTTTATCAATTTGTATATTTTAATAGCTTAATTTTTTCCATTTACCAGTGCTCTTTTAGTCGTTCATAAAATTTAAGAAAACAATTACTACCAAAAATTTGAAATGAAGTACTTATTTATACTTGTGCAGAGCAGTGTTATAACTTATCAAGAATAATCGTTTAAGCGTTAAACGACGTTCAAACGATATTTGAACAGTGTGTCTTGTAGCATAAGAAGTTCAATAAAATAATCTCAGTTGTAAATACTAATTATAAAGGTTATTCAAGGATTGTTGCTTTCTTGTGCATTGATCTTCATTCTTGCTTGCCTATATGAAGCGATTAAGTGGTTTCGCGTGTACTTGCAAATTTCTATTGCACGCTGTCCTCCAAGTTGTCGTCATGCTTCTCGTGATGTTGAATTGCTTAGAGAAAAATGTGTTCTTGACGTCAGGTCTATTTTTGCTCCTCTTACAAATACTTCAACCAACAAATCTTTGAGTTTGTATGCATTATAACAAGTAAACATTCCTAGGATACTTTAACAAGTTGTATCTGACGCAAATGTAAATTAAATGGATTTTGAGTGAAAATAGTTAATATTTACAAACGTGTCATAGAGTATTGTATTTAGTTAATGCTATTTTTGCAATAAATTATTCAAACATATCTTTGGAAAAATTTCATCATACCCTATCAATGAGATTTTTCAGAAGAAGAAATGAGGATAATCATTCCTTGACGCGACTTATGCAAGTAAGTTCTGTTCCTGACTTTTGTAAATCTCCTGCCATTCCGTTACGAAATATAATGCAGTGCAGTGAAGTATGAAAGTCATAAAGTATTAAGTTATTCAGGCGTCTCTTTATATGGTGCAGCTGACGTTGGCGTACTGGTTGATGCTTATCGCAATGACTTACAATGTTTGGTTAACAGCAGCTGTAATCACTGGTGCAGCCTTTGGACATTGGTTATTTGCTGTTTCTAAATGTTTTAATCCTCAAACCGATCAATTAGATGCCTTTGCAGCCGATGCTTGTCACTAAAATTATTTGTTTTTGTTCTTGTTTCATTTATAGAACTTCTCCTACAGTCGAAGGCTACTACCGTACTTATTACGTGTATACTTATGAGAGGTAGGCTTCTCACAGTTTCCTACCTCTAGTAAGACATTATGTTGCTAGTCATAGTGATGCACCCGCTTTTCAGGCAGACAGTGTCTTTTTGATTCCATATGGTTGATTCATGAGTTGAATTGTAGTTATTTCTCGTTGCACTAAGTAATCTCACAGAATATTTCACACTGAAGCTAGTATTTTCAATAATAGATATACTTAATAAATTAAAGTTTTTTTTTCAAATAATAATTAGTACATACAATCGTTCACCTTATTCAAGTACATATTTAATTTTCTATAAGTTCATTACTGCACTGTAAGATAAGTTTCATTTTTATAATCACGAGATTCTGCATAAATTTACACATGCCACATTTAGTTCTTAAAAGCTTTTTATGTATATGGAATCCCTAATTCCTATTTCTAGCAGTTGATATCAGTATCAAAGTTCCACAGTACTTGCACACCAAGATTTTAAATTTCATTACAAATTGTTTTCTTTTATGAGGCCATAGTTTTTCATTTTTCATGACTTTTCACCTTTATGCAATCCAAGACATACTGGACATGCACCGCTCTCCATGATTGGTCGTTCATCCAAATGAGGAATGTACATGCACCGAGCATGTATTAAATGTCCACAACCATAAACAATAATATCATAGTTCACGGGACCACTATCCGCGGGTTTATCTCGTTGTAACACAAATGTTCTAAAAAAAATAAATGCCAAGCCTCTATCACAATTAAAATTAAAGCGTGTTTGGGAGGAAGTAGAAATATACCTGCATATGGCACAATGCTGATCTGAACTGATAAAAACTGCTCGCTTGTGACGTGATAAATATTTGGCAAACAGCTGACTATTATCAGCTTCCAGCACTTGCAAGCAATCGTATTGCATTTGAACAAGTAATTCGTAATCATGTAAAATCTTTACTATAGAGTTTCGTAGACCAGGGATGTTTATTTCTTCAGGTATCTGAACAAAGTTTCAAAAAAGTTTTGAAAGTGCTTTTTTGCCGAAACGAGAAAAAACTAGTTCGGAACCATTATCAAGATGAAACTGTTAGTTTTAGATGCCGTTTATTTCGCAATTAATAGGCGAATTTCTTCCTACTGAAGCTTATTCATTTTTCATTGAATTTTATGTTTAGAAGTGTGTGTAGCTGTATAAAAGTGTTTTCCAATTGAATAAATTTCCACCTGATGAACCCTATTTCAGTTGAAGCAACAGCACATTTGAAAATACTTCATAAGAATTATTATCAAACGAATTAGTAAACCTTTTCAATTATGGTTAGAGGGTTAACATAGTGACCAACGGTATTCAACAACTGACTGATGTGATCTGGCCGCTTCATAGCGGCTTCAATTAATTTATCCCATAAATCAGAATCATCGTTTTCACGACAAAAGTCGATTGCACAATCAATTCGATTAAGTTTATTGACCAACAAGTCTAATGCTTTCTTACGATTTCCACTACGTCCAAGTAAATACACCATCTAAATTTCATACTTCTGTAGCCAATTAATGCAGTACATCAAATATTAATAACTACATATTTCATCAACTTCACTTTCAGAAATAATCTGTTTCATTCCAATACTTTCCTTCCATGTACCAATATTCATATCTAAATTGAATCGAAAAAAAAAATCACAAAAACTATCTAAAGTAAAATACCTACTGAACAATTTCAAAAATCAAAAAACCAATTTGTATGGACCTCATTAACATATTGTTTCTTTTCACAGATGTCGAGAGCTTTTGCTATGTCATACACGTGAGTTTTGCGAAGAAAGGGTAAAAGCAGATCTCGTTCATGATCAGCATATAATCGTATGGCTAAATCAACAAATTCCTCTCCCTCGTTCCTTTCAAACAAACTGTTTAAAACAGCAATCTGAAACAAACTTTAGTAAATGATTCTAAACTTGAAAAATTTAGAATTATTTACTAAAAACGGCTGAGGAGACAAAAAATAAATCACCTGAACTTTCGGATACTTAACAAGTTGAGCAAGAATTGTTTTTGTCGGTAAACTTTCAGCATTTTCAATTAGTAACTGCACCGTCAAATTAGCATCAATATTCATAAGTTTTGTCAGATCATCTTTTACCTAAAAGCGTCGCATTTAGTCATTTAACTTTTTAGATTCTTTTTCTAGTTCCTTAAGTTAATTTGAAATTTGGCACACAATGTTTATTCTTGATTAATAAAATATTTCCATCCATTTCTACGTAAAAAAAATTTATAAGAGGTAGAATGTACTGAAAAATAATGAGCATGAATTGAAAAAAAAACCAAAGAAATATACTTTACTACAAAAACTTACGAGATGAAATAGCTGATACTGTTGAATTACTTTGAATACATCTTTATCGTTCAACATGATATGAAGCAATATTGCTTTGTCATATTTCCGCTCATATAAATAAAGACGAGCAAGAGCCCGATAGATAGCAACGGAATCTTGTTCTGATAATGGAGCTCCATTTCCTTGCACAACCCATTTTAGTGCTAGTTCTGTTATTGCACCTAAAAGAATCACAAATTCTATTTAAAAAACTTTTTACATATTTTGAAGTACAAAATTAGATTATATAGTTAACTAAGATCAAAGAAAAACTAACCTACTCGGAATAAATCCGGGTTCCAAACCTTGATTAAATTATAGAATAAAACAGGGTGATTGTGGAGTGCAGCAGTCAGTACACATTGATAGCATTCTGGTTCCAGCTGAGGATCTTTTACAGGTAGATATTTGGCAAGTTGAAGAACTACGTTATTTTGTTCAAATTCAGACACGTAATATTCCCAAAGATCTTTCTGACGTCCACAAACCTTTGATATAAAATGTGTCAAATAATTCAAATTTGAAATAATCATGAAGAAAAAAACGTTGAGTCAAATCATTTGTAATACAGTAATAAGTTGACTTTTAGCTATCACATACCACTTTAAGATTTGCAGCTGCTTCGGCAAATTGCTTCTGTTTGATCAGACTGCACAAAAAACGTTTTCCAACATCAATTGGATCTAAATGCTGTAACTCAGCTTCATGTTCATTCGCAAATTGCATTGCTTCACGAAGAAGACCATTCTCCAAGTACCATCTTACTCTATCGTCAGCTGAGCAAGGTTGCGCCTCAAACATTTACTATTCTTAAATTTTTAGAAAGATTTTTAGATTAAGTTAGACTTTCGCAAGTTATCAAAATTATCATTGACATAAACCATTTCGCTGTATCTCTAAATAATTTATATCCAGTTAGTGGTGATGAATGTTTTAATTAATTTCTGCAGATTTTATTCCTTCTTGATAATTGATCTTAGAGAACCTTAAATTCTCAAAGTCTTCATTATCATTAGATTTAAAAAACAAGTTTTAATTTTCGAACTAATCAAATTTTATAACGATAACTGTAAGCTATGCGCTGGTACCATGAGAACAGAAAATATCTGCACTCATTTTTTAAAAATTCAGTTTATATTTTTGTGCAGACAATTGATTTAAAAAATAGGAACACTTCAATGATTTTAAAGGTATCTGTAAATGCCAACCTCAATAAACTCTTGACACCCAAGCAAAAAGTAAATATCTTCACATAAAAGAGAAGATAAGTGAAATGCAGTTAAATTGCCAAAATCACACGTAATCATCTCGATCCTATCCTCAGTCGTTAAACTAAAAGTGTTGCTATCTTCCGGTTCCAATAACGCAAGTACCATTTCACATTCATTTTGTGCAACCTATATAAAATTTTGAAGATGAATTAGTTAGTGTAGATTTGGTATTCTTTTATAATTTGATGTGAACATTCTTAATCAAAATTGAGCTGCCATGCCAATTCATGATTTGAATGAGGAAACTGGAAAGGATTCCAAGCAGAATATAAAATCTACGAAATTTTATATTCTGTTCGGAATCCCTTCAGTTTCCTCATTAAAATCCAAAAAACAGAATATAAGAAAACTGATGAAGAAAAAATTAAGAATTATGAAAGCAATAAAGAGAGCGAATTGGAGTTTTTAAAATCAATCAGATGAAAAAAGACTTTCCAACAATCCGAAAACTAAAAATAAGACTGATAATGTACATCTTCGGTCATTTAAAATCGCTTCAATAATATGTGCATATTATAAGTTACATCATGAAATGCTGATTTCTTCATCCCAAAAACAGTAATCTCCTTCCAAGCGCATATTTCATCTCCAAGAGTGAACGAAACATCGGCTATATACATATCAACCTTCCAAGAATACAAAACTTCAACTTGTTTCACTTCCACTGATGAAACTCCCTTTAAAAAATTATTCAAAAAAAGAAAAAAAAACTTTAAAAGTAATTCAGATCAAATTCGAAAAAATGAAGCACAAACTTCTGATATAGAGGAAACAGTGATTGTGCATACGACAACCGCATCCCAGAATCCAACCACCAATGTTTTGCTGTCAATCCAACAATGGGATGGACGTGTCTTAACTCCAAGTGCTTGTTGTTTGTCATAAGTCGGTTGAATAACTGCAATCAACCGATTCGCATTCCTTAAATAAATACAGAATGTTTGCAACTGCAAAAAATATTGATAAAAACTGAAAATTTTTCATTTTAATCTATCACGTATTCATCCTTATGAACGTAGGAAGTATAAAAATTTTAGTCACTGCTCAAAAAATTTTATTACAGAAAAATTTTAATTCAGATTAAGGCACAGTAAGCATTGAATCCAATCTGTTTAATGTAATGTCAAAACTATTCTTTTCAGTCTATACGACTGTTTTGACAAGAATGACTTTAATACTAAAATATTACAAAAATAAGGAAAAAGAACTTTTTTTTAAAGATTCAAAGCAAATACGATGAATGAAACAGATATCATTACGTGAAATACAATATTAGACA